GTCAGAGACCCCTTTGAATGCTACAGATATTTTTTACAGAAAAAATGCATACAAATACACACACATTTTGCCCACAACCAGGGTTTATGGGCTTCTGATTAAAATCACTTTACCGAAAGAAAGACTTCTGTGACTATCTGCCACCCCTATACACACCCACCACTAATTCCCACCCTTTACTAGCAGTGACTCACCCATGCCTCTGCTGCCAAACACCCGTAAAATAAACCTGACTCTTTTCTCCTAGCATTTTTTATGCTGAGATAGAAAAATAAAAACACAAAGCATCCCCAGTAATTACAGACAGTTACACTTAGGAGTCATTAAAAGCTTCCCCCATCAGAACACTTCCCCAGGACAAAGACGTTATAATTTCTTAGATTACTAGTTTATTGCATAGTTATGTTTTAAATGCTTTCCTTTACAGGGAGTTATTCTTGGACCCTGGCTGAGATTAGGAAACAGTCAAGTCTTAGCACACTTACCAAGAATTTCTTAGATGGGCTATTTTCTGGGAAGATTATCACAGTGATTAATCTCATCTATTTTTTGTTGTCAACTTCAGAGGGTGACAGTTTTGGCCTTGTTCCCAGTTCTAGAGATATTGTCAAGTTGAAATCTGCAGCTTCTTCTATACTAACTCTACCTTCTAAGTAGAAAAGAGGTTTGAAAATGTTGGAGCTTTCTGGGTTGCCTTCCTCAAGCTAAATTAGAGTCTACTGAAGAAAACCTATAACCTTTCTGGTGGAGCGGGAGGGCAAGTATTTATACCCTCTGGTTAGCAAATAATACTTATATCAAAAAAATTGTTTTGAGGTTTAAATGAGATGATGTGTGGAAAGCATATAGGCTCACAATAAGTGCTTGATAAACATTTGTTCCCTCCCCATAGCTCCTTCACTTATTTAACAAACATTTATTGAGCACTGATACTGTATGCTAAGGATATAAACACAAAACAGTAAGTCTGATAGAAACAGACAAATTCGACAGGTATGGTGGCTCACGCTTGTAATCCCAGCACTTTGGGAGGTAGAGGCGGGTGGATCACGAGGCCAAGAGATCGAGACCATCCTAGCCGACATGGTGAAACCCCGTCACTACTAAAATACAAAAATTAGATGGGCCTGGTGGCAGGCACCTGTAAATCCCAGCTACTCCTGCAGTGAGCTACTCAGGAGGCTGAGGCAGGAGAATCACTTAAACCCTGGAAGCTGAGGTTGCAGTGTCCAGCCTGGGTGACAGAGTGAGACTCCAACTAAAAAAAGACAAATGCACAAATAATCATAACATATCAACTCCATTAATACAGATTATTTACCAAATCTTAAAACTCTGACCCTATCTTTCTTTTTTCCCCCTTAACAGCTAACTTTCTCTCTCCAAAAGCTCATCTGGCATTCCTCTTGATAGAAAAAGTGTCCTATGAGTTGGGTCCTGAAAAATGAGTGGCAGAACTTCATCTGAAGACCAGGAGAGAAGTATGCACGCTAGGCAGAAACAGCAACAGGGACAGGCCGGGCGCATGGCTCACGCCTGTAATCCAAGCATTTTGGGAGGCCAAGGCAGGTGAATCACCTGAGATCAGGAGTTCGAGACCAGCCTGGCCAACATCGTGAAACCCCATCTCTACTAGAAACACAAAAAATTAGCTGAGCACGGTAGCGCGTGCCTCTAATCCCAGCTACTCTCAAGGATGAGGCATGAGAATCAGCTTGAGCCTGGGAGGCAGAGGTTGCAGTAAGCCACGATTATGCCATCACACTCCAGCCTGGGCAACAGAGTGAGACTGTCTTAAACACACACACACACACACACACACACACACACACCCAGCATGGGCAAAGGGTTAATAGTGTGGTAACTTCTGGAAACTTCATTATCCAGTAGGCTAGAGTGAGGCTCGGTAGGGGAAATTAGCTGGAAATGTGGGCAAGAGTTAGTGCAAGATGGAGGATGCTAAGGAATTTGGATTTCTATATGCAGGTCACGTAGTCCCCCAGGATGCTTTTTTTCAGAATGGTGGCACGATCAGATCTGCTTTGGAAAGCACACTCTGGCAGCAGTGGGGAGGATAAATGGGAGGTGGAATGAAGGGCGAGAGAGACAAAAAGCAAGAAGACCAGTCAGGAGCTATCGATTCCAGATGAGAGATAATGAGGGCCTGAACTGTAGTACTGCCAATGACAATGGCAAGATGCCAGCAGGCTCCAGGGACATTAAAAGGTAGAACTGACAGAATTTAGTGACTGATTAGATGTGGGGCGGGTAGCATGTGAAGGAGAAGATTATAAGATTCTAGCTTAGAAAATTAGGTGGATACAAAAGACATTTAGAAATGACAGGCACTGAGAAACAGTTTTCTCTTCTTTTTCACAGCCCTCACCATTCACACTGTGCAAAGGAGCTCACTATCCCCTGCTCTCACTTGACAGATTCCTACGCAATTCAATTTAACAAACCTAGGATAGTATGTAGCAAACCCAGCAGCTCGACGATATTGGTTATTCCTGTCTTTGCTTGGATCTGGAAAAGCCCCAGGAAAATATTATCAATGAATAAGAGATAATCCCTATCCCTAGGGAGCTCACAGTCTAGATGGCACAGTCATACACATTGGAAATTATAGTACAATGTGATCTGCACTATATAATAGCGGTACTGTATCACAGAATGTTTCACAAAGGTCATCCTTAGCTTAATTTAGCTGGTAAGGAAAGACAAGAGGAGAAGGAATATTAGCCAAAGGAACAGCAGATGCAAAGGCTGAAGAGGTCATATAATTTGGTATGATCAGAGGGTGGGGTGAGGTACAAGATGAAGTTGGAAATGTAGGCAAGAGTTAGATCATAAAAGGTCTGGTGAGCTAAGCTAAGGATTATCAAAGGTATGATTAATCACTGAGTGATTTTAAGCAGGAAAGTTTCAAAGAAAGCCCCCAGTACTTACCAATGTTAAAGAAAAACAGGTAAGATAACAAACATCTCAGTACTTAGTATATATCAGGTTCTGCACTAGTTTTGTCCAATTAATGGATAGGTGTATTTCACCGTAGCCATTGATGTATAACTGAGTTATAATCCCCTTTCCACCAGTCTACTCCATCAGGCACTATGAGTTCCTTAAAGTCAGGACTCTGGTCTTAACCATCCTTATACCCCTAGGCTAGCTAAGTGCCTAGCACAAAGTAGGCTCCTAAGTATTTACTAGATGAATGAATCACCTGTTGGACAATGTTTTCCTGAATTCCCTGCTTCCTAGAGTCCAGTGGGTCATCTTCTGTTCACCATAGCTAAATGATAAGGGTAGTAAAGAGAAGTGAGTAGTAAATTTAGTTCCAGAAGATCTGGAGTATGCTCCTGCCTCACATACTAACTCTGACCTTGGGCAAAGTACATATACTCTGAGCTTTAGGGGTCTCATCTGGGAAAATAAATTTTTTAAAATTCCCACACATCACAAAATGTGTGAAAGTATTTTGTAGCATTACTAAAATATAAGTTGCTTACATATATGTTTCACCTTCCTTACATATTAACATGTGCTCAGAAGTCAGGGAACAAAATAGGTTGGGCTCAAACTTATTGCATTATAGGTCAGTAAAAACACTAATGTTAATTGCATTTTTCAGCTAGCATTCATGTCATTCTGCTGGATAATGTGAATTAGATTCTGGTTGCTTCTTGCTCACTCCAATTAGTAATACTGTTATTTAAACATACCAAGCTCATCCCTACCTCAGTACCTCCTCACTGCTTTCACTCAGCAAGGAGGAGTGCTGAGTGGAATGCTCTTCCCTTACCTCCCCACACCACGACTGCATGAAGGTCATGCCTTCACTTCCCAGTTCTCTGTTCAAGTGCCCTCTCATCACAATACCTTCCTAACCAGTTCATCTAAAGTAGCACCCACTCTGCTCTCCGCACCGCCATCACTCTCTACCTCCTAAGCTTGCCCTATTTTTCTTTACGACACATCATCATCACAATCCTGTATTTGCTTATTCTTTGCCTCCCCATGAAAATGTAAGTTCCATATAGATAGGGTCTTTACCTCCCTCCCTCACTCACTGCATCTAAGATGCCTAGAACAATGCCTGGCACACAGAAGATACTCAGGGCATTTTGCTAAGTAGTTTGCTAAGTGAATGGCATTTGCTAAATAAGTGAAGTTTTCCACTGCAATCACCTGTCATCATATAGCATTAAAAAGGACTTGGAAACAAAAAGAATTAGAAGACCTGGGGTCCAGCCCTGATCCTGTCATTAACTATCTATTTGGCCTTGGAAAGGCCCTTGTTTCTGAGTTCAATTTTCTTATCTGTAAAATACAAATAAAAATAACTTCTACCTTGCCCTACTGCCCCTCCATTTCACAAATCACATCATTGTGGAACTTAATGGGGTCTTACATAACATTTTATCAGTGGGGTATGTTTCTGTTTTTACTGTTAACTCTTCAGGAGCACAGACTGTCTTGCTCATCTATTACAGAACTTGAATCAGGGCCTGGATCTATAAATAATTGCCAAAAAAAAATGAAAAGCAAAGGTCATACATTTCCTTTATAAAATGAACTGAGCTTCAAATATTCATGCTCCAAATTATTTTTAAATACTCACTATAAGTGTCATTTCATTTCATCTAGCAGACATAGCAATTAGCAGAGTGCCTGAGCAGCTAGAAATGTTCTCATTTCGTCTGGTTTTTGTTCAGGATAATGAATATAAATGCTTGTTTTGACTAAATGAATGGTTCTCCTAGGCCAGCGCTGAATAAATGCTTGTGCTATTGTGACGCTTCTGACCCAGGCAGGAGACATGTGCTTCCATCTCCAGAACAGCAACCCCTGAATGACCCCTCAATACAATAGAGAAAAGAAGTGCTTTGTAATTTAGGGGCATAAACTAAACCTCCACTGCTTAGAGTCAGCTTAATGTCTAACAGAAATACATAAAACTGCCAAGCCTCAACCAGACATCTGAATAATCTGTCCATACATTTTTCACATATCAGTATTTACCGTCTTTTCAAAGGACCAGATCAAGATGAGAAATAATAAAGTTTATATAAAAGGTAGTCAAACATTTATTTTATATAAGTTCCTTGCCATTAGATTTGGGGGAAAAAAGGTTCAAGTTTACAGTGCCAAAACAGCTCCTTCTTTAAAGGCTTGTAAACAGTGGCTTGTTCTATGCCAGCATGCACACTTTCGAGCATATCAACTCATTTAATCCTTACCAACAATTCTATGAGGATTACCCTATCATTCCCATTTCACAGATAAAAACTAATGTATGATCATCTAGATAGGATCGTCTTGCTCAGGAGCACGCACTGGGATTTGAACCTAAGCTATCTGAGTCTATACTCTGATGCCATACTAACAGTGCAGGACAATTTTTAACTGCATGAATGCACACTGCAGAGCAAGAGAAACTTAATGATGATCATTTACCTTATGGAAATTATGGCCACATACTTTTTGTACGTTGATTTACAAATAGCTTGGCTAAAAAGTGGTTCAGTAAATCAACTTCTTAAAACAGGCTATGAAGGAAAAGTGTATGATGAAGCCAGCAGTAAACAAAGAAATTACGCAACATGGTGAGAGAGGATGTGGATGTGGAGGGAGCTGCTAAAGGTCTGAAATCACTGGAAAGTTCAGTGATGACAGTAACTTGGTACAGCTGACTGTCCCTCAAGCAAAAAACTAAAAGATTAGAAGGACAAATTGATTGGCCAGACACTGGTCAGAGCCAGTGCTGATTTCCATTTATTTTGTAGCAATTCATCTGCTGTGTTTGGATACTCTGGAAAAATCCAAAACATAATGGAAAAAGCATGGGTAAAAATCGCTTATTAGCAAGTTATTTAATCTTTGAGCCTCTTTATTCATCTATAAATTTAGAATATGAATATCAACTTTGAAATGTTGCTGTGAAAATTAAATAAAACCATATATGGCAGAATAGGTGCACAAAATTGGTTAATCATGAAAAAGTTAACATCATCAAGATGTAAAATAATTAGCTGTTGTTGTTGGGGCAGGGCTTAGAGTGGGGGGTTGGATATTAAGATTCTAAACATGTGTAATTTTTAATCTGGAAAACCTACCAGATAAAACAAAGAGATTACCACACCCAGGTTTTTAGGGAGACAGAAGGTATGACCAACACAGAAGAATTAATTTGTTCAACTTTGATGGAAGGTAAACCCCTTTAGTTCTCACTTTGCTTTTAAGAGTAGGAAAAGATCCAGACTTCTTAATTATGGATTATCCATCATGTTCTTTGCTTCCTCGGAATCTTTGAGAACGAAGAATATCTGTTCTTTAAGATTAAACACAAAATAACTGAAGAAATTTGAAAACAAACAGAATGTTAAATTATATTCGATAACAAAATTATGGTTTTGTAAGAAAATATTTTTAGGAGATACCTGCTGATATATTTAGTGGTGAAGTTCAATGATGCTTGCAACTTCACCTGGTTAAAAAAATTATATATATATAAAATATATATATTCAAAAAATATACATATATATAATCATCTTATACATAAAGCAAATATGGCAAATTGTTGTTTAATTTAGATGATAGTTATATGAGTAATGTTTAAAATAGTTAGGTCGGGCTGGGTACAGTGGCTCACACTTGTAATCCCAACACTTTGGTAAGCCAGTGAGGGAAGATCACTTGAGCAATCTCCCTTTTGCAACATAGCAAGACCTTGTCTCTACAAAAAATAAAAAGATTAGCCAGGTGTGGTGGCACATACCTGTGGTCCTAGCTACTTGGGAGGCTGAGGAGGGAGGATCTCTTGAGCCTGGGAGTTCAAGCCTGCAGTGAGCCATGATTATACCACTGCATTCCAGCCTGTGTGAAAAAGTGACATCTTGCCTAGAAAAATAAAAAAATAAAACAGTTGCAGTTTTTTGTTTTAGAGACAGGGTGTCACTTTGTCATCTAGGCTGTAGTACAGTGGCACAATCACAGCTCACTATAACCTCCTCAAATTCCTGGGCTCAAGTGGTCCTCCCACCTCAGTCTCCCAAGCAGCATTTTTTTTTTTTTGTACAAATGGGGATCTCACTATGTTGCCCAGGCTGGTCTCAAACTCCTGTCCTCAGGTGATCCTCCTGCCTTAGCCTCCCAAAGCATTGGGATTACAGGCATGAACCACCACGTCCAGCCCCTAAAATAGATTCTAATAAAATATGAGGGGCGGGGGGAACCAAGAGGTTGCATTTAGGGACAATCCCAGGTAGAATTTTCCATCTTTTTCCTTTTCTATTCATAGTACAGACGGTTAGGGGAGAGTGTGGTAATGCAGAAAACAACTGATATTAGAGAAGTAACAATAAATTCAGCCACAAGTCAACTAACTGAAAGACAAGTTCTACACAACTTCTGAAACACCTTGTAAGAGTCCAGATGGTGAGAAGTAGTAACTAATATCTATGGTTTAAAGAAAGAATTCTTTTGCCAGGGAGAAACAAACTAGTGGGTGAGAGTATCAGCCTTTCCAATAGGCCTATCAAGAGATTTTATCTAGGAATATTTAGGAACCACATTCTAAAGATGTTACAAAGGCAATTACAGAAAAAAATGTTATATAGTTCCCTCTGTTCAGAACACACACAATCTTGAGAATCATTCCTCTTCATCTAATAATGAATGCTTATCTGTAAATGCATATATCAATCTTAAGGGGTGACATAAGAACAAAAAGAATTATGTAGCAAATAAGCCACAGTCTTATACAATTTGAAGGTGTTTTTAAAGGACTAAAAAGGAAACAAAAGGGTTGTGAGAAGAAGCAAAAAAAATTTTTTAAAGACTTTACATGACCAGAAAACAAATTTAAAAAATTAAGATGTCCCAAGAAACCAAATTAACTCATTTTTTAAGTTAACCTAAAAACTAAATGTTTTGCAACATACAAACTGCAAAATATCCTTTGCATCCCTTTAATAAACACCTGCCTTTCTTTGGTAAAGAATTTCTTGCAGGACAGGATCTAAAGTTTGAAGTTCCCTCCAAAGATCCCAGTAGAAATGTTTCTAACTTCTAAGAATGTCCTAAGAGAATGAGCTAAAACACAGAGAATGTTGAAAATCTTATTTAGAATATTAAAAACTGGGAGCAATCTAAACGTCTAACAGTGGAAGAATGATGCATTTATAATGTGAACACACATGTGATATTCAGCAATTTCAAGTCTAAGTATAAAGAGTAAGCCACAATAAAGAATGTTAAAAAAATTAGTAAGTAAATATAATTATAAAACAAAGTCAAAAATATGAAAAAAGAGGACAATTATATTGGAATGATAAAATTCTATTTCTGTTTCCTGCCTCCTCCACTGCTGGCTCTATAA